CCCGCCCGGCCCCCGCCCCGCCGCGGCCCCTTCGCTCCCACGCCGCCCTCCGCGCAGCCCCTGCCCTCACACACCCGCGCCCGGCGGTCCCCCGCAGCGCCTTGCCTCAGCCGCCCCGCTCAACGCGGCCCCTGCCCTCACACACCCGGCTCGCTACACGCCCTCCCTCGCACGCCCCCCGCCGCCGCCCCGGCTCACCTTGCTGCAGGTCCTGCTGGTCGTACCAGGGCTCATCCTCGCGGATTTCGAACTCCTCCACCAGGCTGTCGGCCAGCATCGCGCCCCTTCCCCTCACGGGCGGCTGAGCCGGCGGCGCCCACCCCACGATGCCCCCTGCGCCGAACGGGGCAGAGCGCGTCGGCAGCCGCTCCCCGCCTCAGCAGCCGCCTCCGGCCATTGCCGAGCGGTTCCGGACTTTGCCGAACCTCTCCCCCTTCTGGCCGGGCTGCGCCGGCGGCAACGTGGCAGCTGCTGCTGCCGCCGCCCGCCCCCCGCCTCCCGCGATTCAAACACAGCACCCTCGCCTCGCCTCGCCGGCAGGCGGCCAATGGCGAGCCGCCCGCCGCACAGATCGAAAGGAGGATACACCAATCATAAGGCGAATTCATATCAAATGACCAATGAGAGCGAAGAGAGGGCGGGCTCGAGGCAGCCGCGCCCCGCCCCGCGGTGCGCAGCCTCCCGTCAGCCGAGGTGGGTCGGTGCCGCTGCAAGGGGCGGTGGTCGCCGGCGCTGAGGGATGCCGGCTGCGGCTTGTGGCGGAGGAGAGCTGGCGCAGGCCGGGGTGGGACAGTGCGACTTGGCGTAGGGAAAGCCGGGGCTCGTTGTTGCCCTGTGTTGGGAGCGCTGAGGAAAGAGCCCTGAGGAGGGGCCCGGCGTGGCGTTCAGGTGCGGGCCGCCTCTCCGCCGGAGTGCGGGAGGGCAGGGCGGAGCGGGGAGCCCGCGGTCCGAGAAGGGCTGGCTCCGTCCCCGCACCTCGCTCTCGCCTCTTCACCGCACAAAGCGGAGGGAGCCGTGTTTCCTGGCCAGGGACGTGCTGAGGAAAACGAGCGTAACTTCCCTATTGTTAGCAGGCGAGCCCTTCCAAAGGTGCCGTCCTGCGAGCCCCGCGCCCCGGCCCTCAGCGCTCGCAGCGGGCTCGGCCGGTGCCACGGCCCGGCTGGCTCTGTGAGCACCCCGAGTCTCCCCTCAGTGCCACCCTCGGGACTGGCAGAGCGTTTATTCTGGTTCCCGGCTTGGTGTGGTGCAGTCACGTCAGAAGGATGAGGAAGATGCGTGTGTCCGACCAGTCTGTCAGGGCTGTGAGCATTGCACAGCGGTTTGGGACCCAGAGCGGCAGAGCAGGATGGCACCCAGTGCGCCTCAGGCAACGTTTGCTGTTATCTCTCGGAATCCACTTTTCTTCTTTAGACTCTTGCTCTAATTTCTTTTAGCCGTTGTCATCCTGCTGTGGGAGAAACGCAGGTAGTGTCAGAGTACATCTCACTGGCCCGAACAGCTTGTTCTTTTCGGCCTCTGAGTTATTAAGACAGCTGTAACCACTAGAAATTTCTGAAACCGATCTGCCTTCTGTGAGTCACAAAATGTTCACCAGCGCTTTAACCTGCTCAATATAAAGGCTGACTATTAAGAAGAGGGAGGGGATGCTCATGCATGATTTCATTGTAGTGCTATTAAAGGGAACATCTGGGGAAGGAAGTGTGGTACCTCAACTTCTAATTGAACCTATTTCATGAACAAGGTGCATGACTAGATGTACCAATTAGGGTAGAGTTGTGTCAGATCCTGCATAGTACAATTACTCATGGTACTAGAGACCAGTTTGTGCATTGTTAGAAGATTTTTGTTGAAGAAATTTCAAATATCTTTCAGAATTTCTGAGAGAACCATTTTTTATTTCTGTCAGAAGGAATCAAGCCAAACAATTCAGAAATTACTGCCAGTAATGTTAGTGTGAAGCACTTTTATTCTTAGTACTTGTGAAATTTGAAGGAAAGTAAAGTTTCCCAATTCTCCATTTGGAAAACCTGTGCAGGGTGCTCCAGGTAGAAATAGAGGTGAAATGTCTGCCTTTCCAAAAGCCCTAATATCCACTATATAAATAATTTCATTAAGTATATTTATGAAGGCTCTAAAGAGCAAATGTGACACTTGCCAATAACATACTCATTGTAATGACTTTCATATTAATATCAAACTTATTTTTAAAAATAAACATTTCAATTGTACATCTTTTTCATAACCTTTTCCTTCATTTTAGGTTTCTCAGTAAAAGATTGTGAAACCAAACTTGCTGCAAAGATGCAAAAATTTTATCCCTTGAAAATGGTATTGTCTTAACAGGTGTAGAAAAAGAAGTTTGAAGGTACACATCATGGTCATTTTCAAATAGTTTAAAAAATCAGTCATATTCTCAGAAATAAATTGGCTTTAATAAAACAAATCCTAGGGTTCCAGTTGTTTGTCAGCTTGACTTTTTTCTTAGCTATGAAATGAAGTTACCTCCTCTTTGCATCATATTTCATACCACAGCATCATATGCAGAAGTGCATCCACACTTTATTTGCTCTTGAAGAGTTTGTTTCCCATGCTGGGGGATGGAGGAACTGCCTGCTCCATCTTCCCCAGTCCCACCTGCTTTGTGGCTTTTGTGTGCTCCTTGCCTGGTGATTGGGAAGTTCCTCCCTTCCTGCACAGCAGCCTCTCCTCAGCCTCCTGTAAAGCACAGGAAGGCTGGAAAGAGCCTTGGCTTTCATTTCCTGTTTCTGCCATGGTTATTTTTATGAGGAGTTCAGGGAGCTGCTTATAGAGCTGCTGATCAAGCAGATATTCAAAGTAGGTGTTTTGATGGACATGTGAAAATTGCATTTACGGTAAAATTGTTAATATGCAGAGGAGCAACGTGTGAGCTATTGGCATAAAGCAGGTTGTAAAGCTCTGCATAGGAAGGCTGAAATTTGAACTTGAGGTAGCAGACAGCTGCCTCCAACAGACGTAAAAATGAATAAAGCCTCAGTTAAAAAAACAGGTACCTGGGAGTAATTATGTATTGGGCTTATAGAATCAAGTATGGTCAAGGGCTAATTTTAGGTAGCTATTAAACAGCTTTAAAAGGTAGAGGTTCCCTGGAGCTGGCTCCTTTCATGGCATAGTTTACACCAAACATGCTAAGATAATTGATGGAAAAGATCAGCATCTTAAAAAGTTGTTGGCTGAATATCTGAATGGTAGATTAAAGAAATCTGTGTTCTTGGGCTGAATCTCTGCTATTTGGGCATAGATAAATGGTGTGTGTGCTGCTTGCTACATTTTATTTACATGCACCCTTCTATACCATGAAAATGTTAATTTAAAGGTGTTTTGTTTAAATTGTTTTATGGTTTATTAGGTGAAAATATTGTTTCCATGACTTCTTAACAATTAGTATTTTAAAACAGAAGGGCAAAACTTGGTATTTGTTTTGAAAGAAATACTCATCTACGTGCATGCTGCATTTGACATTCATAGCATTGGAATACATGAGAGGTTGAGTCACTTCATTCCAACACAGTCCATAATTTTAAGAATATACAGCTAGCAAGAAAGATCTAAAATGTATGCAATTACTTTGAACTCTACACCAATTGAGTGTTTGCAACAGCAGGTTTTTGAGTGGAGTCTGTACATCAGTTTTGGAAGGGTTTCTTTCAAATTTTTGTCTACTTGTTCCATTGACTTTTAAGTACTGATTATACTTAGAAATGTCACCTAATAACTTAGTATTTTGGGCTCAGTGTCTTATCACTCAGTAAAATGTGTTTCTGATTTTTATAAAAAGGAAGAATGGGAACATTTTCCTCCAATAGTACCTTTCTGCACCTCTGAAACAAGCAAATCCCCCATGTTATTTTAATTTGGAAAATTATTCTACTAATTGTTGTAATTCTCTTTTGTAACTTGAGGAAGAAGAGAGCTGTGCTCTTGGAAGATGAAGATTCTCTGGGGAATTCATGCTAATGCACTGGCATATTCTATGACTACCTTAGGTGCTGGAATGATGAACAGCATTTTTAATTTCTACTACGTTAAGCTCTTCCTAAACCAATACAAAATTTCAGAAACAGGATTTCATGTAGCACAGGTACTGTACAATGGGATATTTTGATTACCGTGTTGTGCTATGCGTCAGTGTTATTGCAACAAAGTGATCCTTTTAATGACAGATTAATTTTGGAATCATTGCAATTAATTAACTGTAAATTATCTTTTACTTTACTTAATCCATAAGCAATAGAACTTACACATAAAGCAGATCATTTGCAGTCTGTAGAATAAAAATCACCAGACTTAATTGCTGAAAAGATTTTTACATTTGATAGCTTGAAGTAATTTTCTAAACTGATTTTGTACCTCAGCTCCATAGATAAGTTTGACATTAGTGCTTTCCTATGAACTGTTTAAGTACTTAAATACTGCATTTATCCTGCAAGTCATTATCCATGTGAGTAACTCACATTGTAAATGGTCTCCTGAAAGTAATGGGCCAGCTCATGTTTTGAATTAACTTACTGTGAGAATAATATCTGAGCTTTGCAGGATGACAGCCCAGATATATAAGGTTTTGAAAGAGTGGAGTCTTAGAGACAGTTTCTTTCACATGTCGTTGGTCACCTAACTACTTCCTCAATCTTATTTTTTCAAAATTTCTATAAACCTATGAATACCCACAAGAATTTGTTTTAGAGTCTGTTTTGACTCTCAGTGGCTGTTACTAAGACCTAAGTAGCTGTACTAAGACTCTAAGACCTGTTCTACTCTGAGTAGCTTTTCTATGTTATGGTTGTGTTTGAGGGTCCCAGGACGAGGAGAGAGATGAGAATCTTGACTCCATGTTTCAGAAGGCTGATTTATTATATTGCGATATTATATTATATTAAAATGCTATACTAAAACTGTACTGAAAAGAATACAGAGAAAAGATCCATCCGAAGGCTAGAAAGAAAAGGCAGGGAATGAGTTACAGAATCCTGTGACTGCTCACAGCCTCAACACAGGTAGGTGGCTGTGATTGTTCATAAAGTAAAAACAATCCACATGGACCAGTCTAAGATGCACCTGTTGGTAAACAATGTCCAGACCACATTCCCCAGCCATCAGATAGTTAGATAATGTTAGTTATCTACGTAAACAATAGATAATTGTTTACATTTATTTTCTGAGGTTTCTCAGCTGGGAGAAAAACCCTAGCAAAGGATTTTTCAGAAAATATCATGGTGACACTATGTATTTATTTATTGTCAGAACTGAAGTTTCTTTTAAATAAATATGCTGTGTTTGCATAATCTCTGTAGAAGAATGCCAGTAGTGACAGATCCCCTTGCTCGCGGCAGGTCGTGTTCATGGTCTGGAACGCCATCAACGATCCCCTTTTCGGCTACTTTCAAGACAACTCGCGGCTGAAGTGCTGCGCCAGGCGCCAGTTCTCCATCTTGTACGGAGCCCCTCTGTACGGCCTGGCCTTCCTGCTGCCGTGGTTCCCCTGGAGGCACTACCAGGAGGGCGACTGGCTCTGCGGCCTGCACCTCGCCGTCGCGCTCTGCGCCTTCGACGGCCTGCTGACCTTCGTGCTGCTGGCGCAGTGCGCGCTCTTCGCCGAGAGCTGCAGCAGGCACGACAGCAGGCTCAGGCTCATCCAGTACAGCCAGGTGGCCACGCTGCTGGGCTCCAGCAGCGTTCTGTTCTGCGGGCTGGTTTCGGATAATATGGAAAATTTTGCTTATTTTCAGGCGTTCGCTGTTCTGGTCGCAGCGCTGGCCACAGCGTGTATGTGTTGTACAGGTAAATACAGCACAAGTCAGTATGAGCAGAGGGATGTTCATACAGAAGATGCTAATCTGGAAAACAGTGATGGAGCTTTCTCCCTGGCCTCAGTAGTTTCATTGACCAAACAGATCATGACAGAGAAGAACTTCCTGTGTTTTGTAACAATGAACTTCTTTCAAGTCTTCCACCTAGCCTTCTACAACAATTTTATGATGATCTTTGCGGATAATCTTATTCCTAAGGATGTCCTTTCTTCCTCAGTAAGAAGTATCATGTATGGAGCAGGTTTTATTTGTCCTCAGGTAGGCAGTCATATTTTATTTCTGAATATGAAAACCTGGTGTTTTAGTAGTTCACAGTATCCATTGAATGCTTGAAAAATGCTGTATTTGGCATAAGGCACTTTCCAAAATGAGTACTAAATCTCACTCCCCAGTGCTCTAGAAGAAGAAAGTACCTCAGTGCAGGCTGATCAAGTGTAAGAGGTAGAGAGAGCAGACAGGCTGGTGGAACATGTGTTTAAACCAATGTGAGACTTGAGTAGGCAAGGAATGAATGTTTTGTATCCTCCAGCACTTATCATACCTAAGCATGAAGGAATGAAAAACATGGCCAAGATCAAGCATTTCTAAAGCAAAATCTATAGAATTCTGAATTATTTTTTGGATTTGTTCTGTTTTCCAATGCTGTGTATTACAAATGAAAGACTAAGCTCTTCTTCAGGAAGTTTCTGAAATAAAATGCTCAAAATACCAGAAAAAAATTATAAAGTATGAAAGGCATTGTTAAAATATGTAGTATCTCAGTCATGGAAACCAAACAAATCTCTAAATAGCTGCTTTTGAAGAATAATACACTCCCATTTGTTTTGTTGATTGGTCTCTTGGTCAGCAGTATTTATGGGGAAGAGAGACATACTTTTAAGAGCCCAGTCAGGGATGAGGGGAGGAATAAGGAACTGAAAAGAGAAAGAGAGCCCAAAAGGGTAATGTGTGAAAACAAGCAGCAAAAGTATATTCCATAGAATAGAATATTCCATAGACCATACTTGTCTGCAGTAAATAAAACATTCCTCTGTTCATTGCCTTCTAACTTCTTTCTCTAGAACTTTAAAAACTTTCTCCGTGTTTCCCTGTTGGATGATGAAAGTTAGGGTACTCAAAATAGGAGTATCCTGACATCATAGGTGCTGATGGTGTTCAGAATTTTTTTTAAATCAGGCTGTTACATTCATTAAATTGTAATGAGTTTTGATAAGTAATATGTATAAGAAGAGAAATGAAAATGCAATTGGAATTCACAGCTCAATTTCAGTTCCCATTTGGGCTTTTGCCTATAAAACATACAGATCCTGAACATACCTTCTGTTCTATAACTATCTATAATTTTAACTTTTGTCCTTATCACGGCTTTAATAGTTTTGGGGTTTTCCCCTGTACCTCAGACAGTTAGGTAATGAACTTTGGAAATAAATTAGAAGCTACAGAAGTTAGGAAAGCTTAAATAATTTTACACTTGATATATAACAATCACTTTTATTGGTAAAATCAGTGTGACAGTGTGAAAAGAACAATCTTTCAGAAAATTCATCCCTCTCTGCTCCCCAGAGACTCTTTGTCTAGAAGGTCACTGAACCGTAGAGGGTTTGCTGTGACCTTATTTTTCTCAGGTTTTGTCCCTTTGAGCTCAAGATACAATAAGAGAATTCTCTGATGGCAATGTCCTGAACTTCACTTACTGGAAAAACACCCAACCCTTATAAATAAAGCTCCTTTTTAGGAGCTCTGCTTCAGTGGCCTGTACTAGAATTCAGCTTCTGACTTAGGTTCCTTCTAGTAGTGGATGTGAGGAACACAACCTGCCCACAAGGAAAATGTTGCTGTAACACAGACAAACAACTTTGAATTTGCATCATTGTTAGTATTTTCTTTACAAACACACAGTCTTAAAGACGTGCAAGTAGTGAGGAATTTTCTCAGTCATAAGTACTTCCTGAGACAGGGTTATTTTGCAATTACAGAGAGACAGGAACATGGTGTTTACAATAGCAGGCATTACATGATCCCTGAGTATTTCTAGTGGAGGCACTTTTCAGCAAAATCCCTGAAAACAGCCAGGGGGAGGAGTATGTTTTAAATTTCTTATAACAAGCTATTTTTCTTATACCACCTTTCCAGATTTGTTTTACCTCCCTGATCAAGTAGAAATCTTGAGCTTTTTGTACAATAGCATTTGCCATGGTAATCTTTGTCTGACCGTAGCATCCTGCTTTTATTTGTCATGTTAAAGCAGTTCAGTGTGGGAACAATTGTACAAGGGAAATTCTTTCCTGTTCTTCATGTGAATATTACACAGTTCATCTCTGTAACACACAAGAAAGGAGAAAATGTGGATCTTTATACAGATCCACAGATCTTTTGTGTATATTTGTGACAGAGATGAGGACCATGTACATGTAGATGGTGACAAAGGCCCATATAATAAAAATAACATAATTCATTGCAGAATGCCCTATTGAAACTGAAAAGTGAGGAACAATGAAGAACTTAAATTTTGTTCATACTATAATCAGCACTTAATATAATTTTCAGCACTTAATAAATTAATATTGAGTTAACCAGTCACTAGATTCTCAGAATCTACTCCTTGCCAAGAGTGGCAAAATTAAAACTCAGCCATGACAAGCACTGGCCTCTGCATTTCTCTGCTTGCTAGTAAAGCCTCTAACTTGCTTAGTCAAAGCTGTCCTGGTGAGCTTGCTTTGACAACTTAAAAATCATGCTTGATTTCTATAAATGTCAATGAAAATAGTAATGTTAATGAAAAAGCAATTGCTGGAAATACATATTTTCAGCAGTTACATGGCAAGATGCTTGATTTACAGTTACCATACTGCAAAGGTAATACTTTAAGGGATGTCAGAAGTAAAGATCATGGCATTAAATAATATATAATATAAAAACTATTAAATAATAGTTAGGCATTCTGGGGAACTGTTTCCCTCAGGATATTGCAGTTCTCAGTGGCTAGTTTTTGAGTGAAAGGATGCTGTACCCAGTAGAAGTGGCATAGAATGAGCCAGTAGAGAATTGTCTTTGTTCAGTTTCTGGGTTTTTTTTTTTATTTTGTTGAATATACCTTCTTAGAAAGGATCATTGTTTGGTTTTTCTTTTCTTTAAAGGGTATTAATTATGTCAGGTCTGTGTTTTATAGCTCTCCTGAGGCTGAGACACTGTACTGTACCTTTTCATCCTATATGTGTATGAATTATCTTTTCAGTGCCTTGTTCTTCTCAGTCATGCTTCGTTGAAGAAGTTTGGTTATTACAGAATCATCTTGTTTTCCTTTTACTATGAAGGAGTAGCTGCTGCTGTCATGTGTCTTCTAGGGCAAGAACACTATTATCTGCTGGCATTTTATGTCACAACAAACATGTGAGTAAATCCATCCCCTGTCCATAGACACAGCTGAAATACTTCTGATAGAGTAGATACTTGTTTTTATTACCATGAAGATTCTGCCTCTGCTTTCATGGTTTTCATTCTGTTTCACTTACCAGAAAAGTTGAAACTCCAGTTACAGCTTTTCTTTTCTTTTCTTTTATTTTTTTCTGGCTTTCATTTTATTTTGTTTCAGCTTTTATTTTCTGCTTGAAATAAAAACAGTCTAAAATGCAAAACAGCAATTATGGTTTGCAGGCACATGCCTCCAGTCACTTCAACCTGAGATGCAAGGGAGGAGAATCTCATGTTTTCCACAGACAGGGAAGAGCTCAGCAGAGAAAAGAGTCTCTCTCCCCAGGGACTGTTTGCTAGGAAAGCCCAGACCTCCCCCTGTGTTGCAGGAACACTTGTGTGCTGCACTGCAGGCAGACAGGGCTAACTCAGGTGTCTGTTAAACAGCACTGAGCCCATTCCCTCTGGTGCTCAGTGGTAAGATGCCAAGCTGGAGTATTTTCACATAAATACATAATGATACATGGAAAACCTTATTTCAAGATAAAGAGCTGTTTGTATCAGAATACTGTTACAGCTGTTTGTTTTTATTTCTTCATGTTCTCTTTCATTGTTGTCTTTCTCCATGTTCTTTCCTTTCCCCTTTTTCTTCATCTTTCCCTCCCCACCCCATTTTCTTTCTTATTTTCAGTATTGCAGTCGTGGGCTACTCTAACACTGAATTGTGTGAACAGTAAATTGAATTTTGTTATCTGCATGTTTTAAATGATGAAGATGTGCTTTGATTTCTCCAAGAAAAAATTCTGAGGTACCTAAAGACTGTATATTTAAAGAGCTAGTTGTTCAAACTACCTTGTTAGTAAAACCTCATCCTACCCCAAATTTAATGACACAGCAATTGTAATATTTTAGTTTATTGTTTCATTTGGCTATTTGTTAACAATCAGTTTTGTATGTTTGTGTTTCTGTGTGTCTGTGCATATCTGTATACATCTACATACACTGTAAATACAGATCTAGGAATGCATGTAAACTATTCTTTCTATTCTAATTCTTCCACCTTGAAGTTTATCTTCCACATGGTCTTTTCCAGACTTCAAGAGCAAATTTTCAATTTCCCCTTTTTCTGTGGTGTTTCTTTTGTCCTGATCATTTAAAATGACATTTACTGATAATGTTAAATTTATTGTCAGAGTGTTCATAACCTTTTACACCAATGTCCAGGAAAAAAAGAAGAAAACCCCCCACTTGTAGGTTTGCATATTGATTTCTAATTCTCAACTAAGAACAGATCTGGTAATGCTTTCGTGTTTTAAGGAACATCTCAGCTTTGTGTGTTTGCAGAATATCTGTGTTGGTGTGTTTGAATGTCAGTTACAATTTCGTTATAAAGTGAATATAAGCACTGTGAACATCTTCAATATTTTGTTTTTCTTTAGGGTAATTGTGCAAGCTTCATTTAGCTTGTTCAATTTGCCTTTGGCAGATATTGTTGATGCAGATTTAATAAAGCACAAGAGGAGGTATGTCAGTCATTACAGTTTTTTTGAACATGCTGTTTGCCTTGTTACTCTTTGGTAATAAATTATGTCAAAGTAAAGACAGCAAATGATCTGGGATCCTTGATACAGAGGTGCTTTTTGTGAAAGCAGTGTAACATAACATGAAGATCAGAACTTGAGTAAAGTTTCCTGCAGTTACTTCAGTAGAGTCATTTAAACAGATTATTAGGTCATTTCTCTTTTTTCTCATACTATAATATAAGCCAAGTCCTTCCAATTTGTGTGGCTTTACTTTTGCTAGCTTCAAGTGAATTACTTTGTAACCAGGTACATCTATAATCATGTATGGAATTTTCTGAATGAGGCTTTCCAAGATGGAAAAGGTGTTAAGAAAGCTTTGCCTATGCCAGGTGAAATGCAGGTTTCAAAGTCTAACTGGTTCCTTTATCTCCCTGAAATAAAAGTGATAAAACCTGCTGCAGAACAGCATATTGCAGCTCACTGATCTTTTGGATTTTTATCAAAGTGCACATAACTTCCTGTTGGTTCAATCAATTGTTATGTAAGTGTAGATTGGCTCCTGTTAAAGAACTTGCCCCTCAAATGCAAGATCTGTTGCTTTCATGGGAAAAAAAAATGCCTCATTTTCTGGCCTGTGCATGCAAAATCTTCAGTTGTAATTAATTCTCCATGCACTGTTCAGTCTAACCTAACTTCAATAATTACTCAAAGTGCACAAAGTTGAATTTAAGTAGAGTCACTTCAGAATTAGGGCCAAGCTGTGTCTATGTATATATGTGTGTATATGTATTTTTATATATATATACTCATACACACAGCCCATAGAGGTTTGTAACTTTTAATTTCCAAAAAATTTTAAATTTCATTATGAGAGTAGATCTGTTTGCTATAATGTGTGAACTAGATAAATCCAAGGATCATGACACTTATCATTTGCATATTAACAGGATTTCAAGCTTTTTAAAATCACAGTTGTAATTAATACACTAATAAGTTTGTGCTGTGCAATAATTTGTTTTTTCCCCAAATATTTTAGATTGCCACTTTCCTCTATGGTTTTTGGTACCAATGCTTTATTTACCAAGCCTGCCCAATCTTTGGCTCCAATGGTTGTGGTTACAATACTAAATCATTATGGATATTATAACCTGAATAATGTACCTGGTCGTCCTGATATAAGGTGAGTTCAAAAGAGATACTTTAAATCTTAGAAAATAACGTGAAATACTCCTGTAATCTAAAAATAAAATTGATCAGGAATTTGTTTGCATCAAATGCACTTCAAAAACATAAACATTTTAAAATACTTATCAGTTGTTTTTGTCTGTGTAGAAGTACAAATGTTTGTTAAAGAGTAAATAATTTATTAAACAATATACTTGAGGATATCTACCTAATTTTGAAAAGCAAAGGATACCTTTCATCCCCTGGCTTTTTGCAATAAAGGAAGAAAATGTTTGAGATCACCTAATGGCTCAAATTAAGATACATGTTGTCCTGACATCTGAATTTTGTTTACCTCATAAACCACTTCCTTAAATATATAATATAAAATGTTAAATATATAATATGAAATGTTAATCAAATTTTTTTTGAGAGAGAAAGCAGTACAATCACTGGAGGGAGAGACTTTTCCTCGAGTAAGAGTGTATCATTTTGGCTCCAGTACTCCTTACCATTCTAATGCTAATGCTTGCATTTCAGTCCCTGGAGACCTTAATACAGCATAAAGCTGTGGTTGCTGGTTAGTTGGACATGTGTGGGCTTTTATAAAAATAAATGAACAGGGAATAACCACACTGAAAGGGTCACAGGCTGCATTTATGACCATCAGGAGGAAGTGGCAACATAAGGAATAACTGAAGTCAGGGCTAAATGGAAAATTCAGTCCTGAGTAGGATTTACTTGAGGAAACAACATGAATATCCTGGGAGGTACATAGCTCTCCTAAACTTTCAGTAAAAACCTAAAGGAACAGATAAACACAATTTTATATGAACTTTATAGCTCCTGAGGGAGAGAGGTCTGGTTGTGTGTCACCTAAGGTTAGGAGAACATTCCATATTTGAGGAATTTTCTAAAAAAATCTATGAGGACAAGCATGACATAAAAGAACAACAGGTGCTCTTCAGAAAAGCATCCAGACAGAAGCAAAGGCAGCTTAAGTTGAGAACAGCTTATTTTAATGCATTCTGTAGATAGCCAGTGAGATGATGTGAGGAGGACATGAACTTCATTATAATGTCAAATAAGATGAGTGATTTTTGCAGAAGAACTGGATGTGGATGTGAGAGGGCTGAATATATTCATCTTGATGATTCAGGGAAATTCAGATTTGAAACATAAAAACTGCAGTTCTGATCCCTTTCAATCAGAGAAATGATCCCTTTGTGGATGGATTTTAAATCACAGAAGTCATAAATCTTTTTTGCCTGGTAAATAGCCCCTGGACTATAGCAACAATAAATTTATGATATAGAGGTTGAAATACTTGGAATGCTCAGTCTATAAATCCTGTGTTTTCACTTGAGTCATGCTGAAATCTTATTTATTTCACTAGGGCCAGGAATAGCATAAAACATACAAAGCTGTGATTAGTGAATCAGAGCACCTGAAATATGTTTCTCTTGCCCATCCTTTCAAAAATAATTTCTTAAATATGAAGCAGTTTGCCTGTGTTTCCTGTATATGTAGTGTGTGAATGGGTTTTCCTTTGCTTGCAAATTGGGGTACAGGGTTGATACACAATCCATGAAGACCAGAAAGATCAAAGTTGTTTCTAGGGAGTCAGTTTGCCCTTGGCACTGTTCTCAGACCATTGACTGAGCTAAAATTACTTATATATATATATATATAAAAAACCTATTTGCTGATCTCATATTTCAGCCATAGGCAGACAGTTAAAATACTCTTGCCCCAGGACAAAGTTGTTTGAGGACAAACAGAAATTAAATATTAGAGATTGTTTAAAAGACACCCAAACTGTTTTGGGGAAAAGAAAGCTTTTCACACATGTGAATTGTATAAAATGAAGTATTATGACCCATGCCAATATAATCTCAGCTCTGTCCTTCCTCCTTCTCCAAAGCTGGCAATATCTATTAAGTGCTTTGGAAAGCATGTGCTTTATTAGGTGTAGTGGCAGTGAATTGTGAAGATAGCACAGAGGACCCTTATTCTGCATTAAAAAAATGTTTGGGCCCTGAATAAATATGTCTGAAGAGTTTCCAGCAATGTTGTTTACTGGGACAAGGCAGAATATGCAGACTATACACTATTTGTTGCATTCTGAATTATTTTTATTAATTTATTTTACTAATAATTATTACTTTTTCTTGAACTGAGAGTTAAACTGTAGCAGCAATGATGGAGCAGCTAATCTTGGAAAGCTCCAGGCACAGTAAGGACAATAAAATCATCAGTAATAGCCAGCATGGCTCCACCAAGGGGAAGTGATGCTCGACCAACTTGCTAAACTTCTGCAGTTAAATGGCTTGCCTGGTGGGCAGGGGAAGGCAGGGGAGATTGCCTGCCTGGGCTGCATTCCTGGTGACCAGGATGATGGGGCAGGATGGAGCCTCAGGAAGTTTGGGGGTGACACAAAGCTGGGGCTGTGTGCACAGAGGGTCACACTGCCACTGTGGGATCTCAGCAGGCTGGAGATTGGGCTGGAATTAGGCAAAGTCCTGCAGCAGGGCAGGGCTGATCCTTCCCCTCTGCTCACACGCTGTGCCACATCCTTAGGAAGTGTGGTTACTGCACAGAAGTTAAGCACTTTGTCATGGAAAGTGGTTTTAATATCTTTAAAATTTGAAATGGAGTGTCCTGATTTTTCCATTCTTCCATCATCATAGCAAAGCAGTGCATGCCCTTTATGACTTGTTCTGGTTTGGGTTGGTTTTTTTTGGGGGTTTGTTTTTTTTTTGGTTTTTTTTTTTTTTTTTTTTTTAGTTTGGCTTGATTTTTTTTACTTTGCCATGGAAAAGATGCCTAGTTTAAAACCTCCCTCTTCTGGAGAGCCACTGCAACTACCACCAGCTTCTCTTGAGAGTGCTTTTCAGATTCATTCTTCAGAATGAAGTTATTTGGCAGCAATTCTTCATTATTTATTGAAGGCACTTTAAACTGTTAATGCTTTCATATTGAATACTGAACTACCTGACATTCTGTTCAGAGTGATTTTAGGGCTGTTTGGGGAAACAATATATGTTTTATTCCTGTGTGTGCAAAAAAAAAAGGGTAGATGTGGAAATTTCTGAAGTTACTTGTTCAGCTGTAATTGTGATAAAATTCATGATCTGCTCTTGATTTATCCCAGTCCTTAATGAAATGTTTTCCCATTCCTTGTTTGTGTATTATATTTTTTCATAATTCCCTCAATAACTTAAGGTTTTACAGTACAATAGGTAATATCATTTTCTTAAATCAGCATCGTCCCACTGAAACCAAATCAGGATTGCACAGTGTGAGTGATTTTGCAGATGTTCTTTGTGTAAAGATGGAATCATGTTAGCACTGAAAACTGCAATCCTCTTTAGTGTGCAGAGCAGGCCAAATGCAAGCCCCAGCATCCTGTTAGCTGTGTCTGAGCCCTGTTCCATCCTTAGGTGGTTATGAATGTGTCTGTGGCTCCCTGCTGGCACTGCTCCTGCAGTCCCGGGGCAGCTGTGCCAGAGCTGTGCACGACGTGGGCTCCTGGGCTGGAGGTGCACTGGAAATGCACTTGGACACAGGCCAGTAAACAACTCCAAATGGTAAATTATTGTCACTGCCAATAAACATTGGCTGTGGACCAGTGGCCTGCTAGTGAACATTTCCAGCCACAAATGCAATTGCCCGAGTGATTGAGTGATTCACTTGTGAGCCTGTGGGCTTTTGTTTTCTCGTGTAGCATTAGCATGTACATGGTTTGAGATAAACTGTGCTCATTTAGGAGCCTGTGTCTGTACTAAGGACAGAATCTGGGCTTTGTTGGAGCTTGCAAACATTTTTTCTGTTAAACTGAGTGAGACATGAGTTGATTTTTTCATGATTCAGAGGAGCTCTTCGGTTTTATTCAGAAAGCTGCGCAAGGTTTGGGGGATTTTTCACAGATTTTAGGTTTTTTGGACCATGTCCATAGCTGTTCTGTGAGTCTCTTATCTCATCCATGAATGCTAAGGAAAAAAATTAGAAAGGAACATAAACTGCCTCATGGAGAGAAAGTTCACTTAGGGGCTGTTTCTCAGCTTGAGTTGACTTTCCTGATATTTAAGTAATTAGAATCCCATAATTAACAGAATGCAAGTAGATAATGATTCCTACTAGATGAATGCCAAAATGCATGCTTTGAGCTGTCAGAAACCATACTGCTCATAAAAGGGAGCTCATTTAATTCCTGTATTTTCTTGCTTCATTCATATCTGCTGATGCTTTTATTTATTTTTCATTAGAGAATATTTAAATGAGGAAATACCATGCATTCATTACATAAAAAGAAAACTAGTGTTGATTTCACATTTATTTTTTCTCTGGCTTATATTATCTTGTAATCACTTATTTTAAAACCAAATGAAATAAGGCATGATATTTCAAATGGCCCTTGAAACCACACCTGAATTTTGTGCAATTATCATTACTTTTATCTAGCATTCAGCATCTAAGACATCACACTATGTGGGTAATTAGAGCACACAGATTTCAACTCAAATAAATTAATTTCATGTTCAAATGTTTGCTTCCATTTTCTACTTTTCTTTCTCTTCCAAATTTTACTAAATCTTTTTTGGATGCTCTGTTCTGTAATTGGATGAAATTTGCTTAAATTGATTTCTATATTACATAATCAGGAAAGTGGTGAACTGGATTTCTTAGGTTATATTAAAATTAACTCTTTCTGTGCTAATTGTCTGAATTCCTCCCACCTAGAGAAAACAATATATAATACATATCTGTATGTAGAATTACAAAATACACAAGATATTTCTATTTATTTTACTTAGAATTGACTGTACAATAGCATGTCTATGTGTTTATAATGAGAATGATTTAAAAATAACTCGTTTAGTGACCATGGAAGTTACTCTTCATATTGAAAGCTGTGTTCTCATTTGTTTCAGCAGGTCATTTTTAGATCTGCATGATGCCATGTTCTACCTGGTCTGTCTGGTTCCCCTCTGCATTGCAGTCCTACAGATCCTGACCTGGACTCCCTTTTCCATCCAGAGCAGCCACCTGGCAGCTCCACAGTGAATGTGGAGCCAGTGGTCAGTGCATCTCCTGCTGAACCACAAGAGAGTTCAGGAAGTTTTTCATGTGAGAAAGCAAAATTGCAAGGGTGAAACACAGTTTGAGCTGTTTCATTCAGTCTCTATAGACTGTGACTCACATTCAGCCTTAATGCTGAGCCTACACAAGTTTTTCCTAGTTCAGTTGCTTTCTGTTAATGGTTTTTTTCCTTAATTACTTTATTTAAAGTAATTTCTGGTATATATGATTCCTGTTAACTCATTTGAAGAAAGGATATGGCAGATCAGGGAAAGGGATCCCCACCCAGCACCTGGAATTCAAGGGAACTGTATTTTTTCAGGCCTACTGGTGGATTAATTTTGCCATACTGATGAAATGACAGATCTCTGAAGGTAATCTGGAAGATCCCAGTGGACATCCCTCATGAATGGCAGGGAGATAAAAATTTAGATGCTGTCTAGCTGGCCAGTATCAAGACAGATCTGACAGCTACCGAGGGAAGATCCAAGAGAAATTAACTACTCTGTGAAAGTCTGTGTAAGGCTAAAGAAGAAAAGGATTCAGGTGCTGTTCAGTGTTGCTCAGTATGGGAAAAGCTCAGTAAGTCCTCACTGGCTTTCAGAATCTCTGGTTGGTGGAAGGTCAGTGCAGTTTTTTGGCTTTAAATGGGAAAATAATTTTGAAGGTATCCTAAAGCTAGTGCCTCATACAGAATGTCATCGTGGCAAGGACTGCATTAGTCTGTGGATATAGGGTTCAGCTCTGGAACAAATGCAGGCACACACAGTTACTGAACCAAGCTCTGCCTGTTCACTGCTGTTACTTTGGTTACCTCATTTGGTGTGTGACTATTTAAATTAATTTCTGAATCATCAAGTTGAAGTTAGTTAATTTCTGATTAATTCTTATCAGTTAAGATTTTAAATGAATCCTGTGATTTTTATAAAATAAAGGGGTTTTGACCAAAATTTAGAAACATTGAGTCCTCTCTTCATTTCACACATTGTAATGGTAAGACCATGGTGTAATTGTGCACTGATAAATACCTTTAGTGTAATACAATCACTGCATTTTTGCATGTTGTTTTGCCTCGACAAACACAGTTTTAGTAGCACCTTTCTTAGGGAGTGCCACTTGAAAGTACAAGAGCATTTTGTGGATCCCAGTTTGAAAAGGCTGAGCAAGCTGATTTTCAAGGCTCTACACTTATTGTGACAGGTATCTTGGAAGAAAAAGGAGTGTAAGAAATGGTTTTGCATTTTGGTGGACAGCAGCATAACTTAATGAAGAAGTTTGAGATTTGAAATACCACAGTTGAAAAAACATTCATTTGTGTCTCAGCTTTTACATTTTCAAAGTAGAAATAACATCATTTCCTTGCCTTTTTTGAAGTGTGAAGTGCTTTCAAGGCGATGAATGAAAAAGAGGTAGATCATCATTAAATATTTAGAAATCCAAATGAATCCTTTGATAGAAATATGAAGATTTATGTTAAAGTGTAAGAAGCCAGCACTGTGGTGAAGTTTGAAGTTGCCTTATCTGGTTTTTATCTGTCTTGTCAGAGAGGCTGTTGCCCATTTGCATTGTGCATGCTGACAGTATTATGTGATGCACATACAGCATCACTTGTGTAAATGCTCTGTGGACAGGTAAATACAAATACCAGAGCAGATACAGCCTGTGTGTTCGGGTTTTGAATTTGAAAAGGTTTCCTGCATTGTATGTATTTATTTCATGTCTGAAAGGCAGGAGCAGAAGTCAAAGGAATTTAAGTTAACACAATCTTTGATTCACTATATGAAACAGTCTTCTCCCTGAGAGTTCCTTTAAAATGGTAATAACATTAAATAGTCTCTTTTTCATTTATTGTTTCTGTATTTCCTAAATTTCCCATGTTTATCCTATCTTCATAGAATATATATTTTAACATATACAGTAAAATAACATTATTGTACCATAAACAGGGTTTGTTAGGTGACTGTGTTAGTTATTTCTAATATTAAGTTACTAGAATATAGTGTACAACTGGAAGACTACCATGCTATACAGCAGGAAATCTAAGAAGTGGTTTTAAGAGTCAAAATTACATCAAGAATTCATTGAAATCATCAGAATGATTTCTTTCTGGAAAATGTCTGGTAAAGTTACCATCAATTTGCTGAAATAAGGAAAGGAGTAAGTAGTGATGTGACTCAATGCACTGTTTGAATAGGCTGTACAATCTGCTGCATCTCTGGAATTCTTACAGGAAAAGTACATAATCAAAGATTCCTTAGCAAGACAGCCTGAAGGCAGGAGACATTAACTGTAGAATAAACTGGTTTAGAAAAAAACCTGAGAAATACAATTCAAATTATTTAATATGTAAAATATTAATAATTTTCCAAATTTACTATGCACTATTCTCCCATGTGTCTGTCCTATTTTCCTTGCTATAAGGGCTGGAGAAATGTGGTTTAGAGCATCAATAGTCAATCCCAAAGAGAACTGGAAGGGTGCTTTAAATTTGGGTGGTGGTGTTCCTGTGGGAATAGAAGGCTGGCACTGTGCTGTGACTGACATTGCTTATTCTCCATTTCTCTGTCACCCACTAAACTCTGTTATCTTCTGCTGAACCTACATGATTGGTTTTGGCTGTGAATCAAGTAAAGGATGATCAAAGGCAAAAGTTCAGTGTCTTACAACAGCTGGTTTCCCTGCTTTCTCTCCTTATTAGCCAACAGTATCTGAGCTTGAACTCCCACTGCTGGAAAAATGCCTCAATTTAATCTGGATAATTTAAGAGTGTCTAAAAGAGTCTCATAACTGATAAAGAGGCTATAAGTGTGTGTATAGTATAAAATATGAAATGCTGTGGTAAGCTCAGAGGAGGAGAAATGTGATGCTTGAATCCCATTCTTAGAGTTTCTCTATAAATTCTGAGAATATGGAACTTAATACACGGAATGAATTTTATTTATTGAAAATCAATAAGCAGAAATGTCTGCTAGACTTAAAAGCATGTTGCCCAACAGACACTAAAGAATGTTAGTCTAATATAGTAGTAACATAATATATGGTCAGTGATAGAGTGAAAATATTGAATAAATGACAGCAAAGCATATTTAATTTTAAGCGAGGAAAAGTGATGTTTTGTGGAGCTTACATGCCTGCCTCTGTTCTGGTCCTGTACAAAATGACCTTCCCAGTCTCCTGCTGCCCTGATTTTGGAACTGCTCAGTAATTCATGGCTGTCCTGTGTTGACATGGCTGGTAGGAATGTTTATGTCTGAGTACAGTTCCACAGCCTAATGGGGCTGTCAGGAAGACAAGCAGGAAGGGGAAGGAACACTTCAGATAAGCCACATCTCCACAAGTACTTCTAGGCACTTCCTGGCAGAACTGAGCCAGCCTGTGGGGGGAAAAGGCTCAGTAGTGCATGCAGGCAAAAGAATTCCAGCTGGTTTGGTAAGGGAACATACAGCTGAGGCTGGGGAGAGTCGTCCTGAAGGTCTGGACAGCTGCCTCTGTTCTGGTCCTGTACAAAATGACCTTCCCAGTCTCCTGCTGCCCTGATTTTGGAACTGCTCAGTAATTCATGGCTGTCCTGTGTTGACATGGCTGGTAGGAATGTTTATGTCTGAGTACAGTTCCACAGCCTAATGGGGCTGTCAGGAAGACAAGCAGGAAGGGGAAGGAACACTTCAGATAAGCCACATCTCCACAAGTACTTCTAGGCACTTCCTGGCAGAACTGAGCCAGCCTGTGGGGGGAAAGGCTCAGTAGTACATGCAGAAAGAATTCCAGCTGGTTTGGTAAGGGAACATACAGCTGAGGCTGGGGAGAGTCGTCCTGAAGGTCTGGACAGACCCACAGCTGGGCTTCCTGGGTTACCTTTGGGGAGAGGACTTTAGAGATCTGTGTTTGCCTTAAAGACCTCTTTCTGGTAATCCCTTTCTTCCTAATGTTTCAATAATAGAAGGGAAAGTTGTTTTATCACTGCATTGGATGCCTTGGGAAGGCTGACCTAGAACAGAAACTAGATGGAGCTAAAGAATAAAGTAGGGATTAATAAATCCACCTTGGGCAGCACAGGAGCCCAGCCAGGGCTGCACCCCAGCTGAACCCAGGAGGCCTCAGTAAATCCACCTTGGGCAGCACAGGAGCCCAGCCAGGGCTGCACCCCAGCTGAACCCAAAATGGTCACAAAATGCACGACCAGCCATGGGGCTCTCACTTACATGAGTTCTGGTCCATTTGCATATAGGAGTTAATTGTCCAATTACAGCTTTAGATTATGCAGTCCCATCCTTCTTGTTTTCCTCTCTTCAGCCCATGTTGTTTGTGCTCTTGGGTCTGAGATCTGGATCATTTGTCCTTGGTCCCCAGCTAGAGAAGGAATTGTTTTGTCTCCCTACTCTGTGAAGAGAGATCACCTTCCCTTGGCATGAACCCCAGACCCACATGCTAAAGCAGCACAGAATATGAGAAATATAAGAGCTAAAACCTGAGGCATCACATTTTATTGGGAAATTGAGGATTCACACGAGGCTGCACAGCCAGCCCTGCCACCGAGGCTGCTGCAGAAGCCAGGGGGGCAGCAGCAGCACTGGCCAGGTTCAACCCTCTGGCTGGGTCTGGGACCTTTTCTACTCCAGGGATTCAATTGATTACAGAAATTTCCCATCAGACAAAGGAAAAAATGCTCTCCAAATAGAGGAGCAGAAAGTAGAAAAAGTGATTCCATTATTCCTGGGAATCCTTTCCCAGCACATGAATTCAATGACAAAGCTTGCTTGCCCCACCAGGGGTTTGCTGAGGTCCAGCAGCTGCTTACAACTCCACCAGCTTATATGCAAATGACTGTACATCAAAATTATTTCCTAAATATGCATGAATAGTGAGTTCTTTGTGGCTTGTCAAGAGAAAAATATGCTGAGTATACAACTGCTCCATCAGAATGTTAATGACAAATCTAACACTGGGTAGGAATTTTAAAAAATTCCAGTAAAACACACCCAGGTTTATGATAATGATGCAAAGACAAAAGCTAGCAAATTTCTTGATTTATTTGGTATGCAGTCAATTATCTGTATTTTTTAATATGATAAAACCAAGCTATGTTTCCCTGTGAACAACATGTAACTAACCTGATGTAATTATATTTACTGCTTTATAATATTGTGAGCAGACGTCTGCTTAAAAAGCAGCAAATTTATCTTTTGTCATTTTGGACTTTGATTACAAAGGTGTTTTATTCCTGGAGGGAAAAAATAAACTAGTCTGCCTTCACAAATAAGAACAGGCATGGAAAGGAGATTTTTAATCCCAAACCAAATAAAAATAGACCAAAAAGGCATTCTAGCTATTGGAGAGAGAAGGGGAAAAAAAACCCAAACAAACAAAAAATAAACAACCCACCCTAACAGTCTTTAGTGGAAAACTGTCTAAAGCTCTCAAGTCAAAAACTTTCCTCAAGGGGGTTAAGCATCAGTGAAAATGAACTGCACACAAAAATCCGCTGGCGATATTCTGCTGGTGCTCTGGTGTTGCTGATTTCCCAGGACAAGCAAGGCTGGATGTGATCGGTGCTTGATCAGAGGAGGTTCCAGTGAAAGGCAGGAGCCCAGAGGGGTCTGTGTGGCAGTGCCACCCTGCCGGTGACACCGAGAGCTGCCACAGCCACCGGAGCCGCCCTGAGGGCTCGGCCCGCGCCGCTCTGCGCACGCGCGGCTGGCAGGGCGGCGCCGAGCACGTGCGCCAGCGCCGCCGAGGCAGCCTCCCGAGGGGCCCGGCCGAGCCGCCGCCAGCCCGCCCTGCCCGGCCCCGCTCCGGTTCGAACGCAGCGCGGCCCCGCCCGGCCATTGGCGAGGGAGAGGGAGGGAGCGGGTGTGCGCGCCAGGCCCCGGCGTGTCGCAGCGAAGGCGTCCGGGCGGGCCCCGCTGCCGCGGCGGCGCGTTCCGCCCGGAGCTTGTGCGCGGGCCCCGAGCGGAGCCG